CCGTGGGTTTGCTCTGAAGCAGGACGGCCCCTGACAGCCCCTTCTCATGGAGCTGGCTGTGCCTGACGGGAGTGCGGTTATCCCAGGGCCTTTAATTAAAGAGAGAAGGAAAATGAAGTTAAATTTGGGGGAGTGGGCAACTGAGACTAATAATATCTGCTCTATCTTCAGGAAAGGAAAGTTATCTTTGGGTTAGGGGGGCACCTGTGGAGTCCAGATACTTCAGCCCCTGACTTGATGGTTGGACTAGATGATCTTGAAGGTCTCTTCCAACCTAGATGATTCTATGATTCTATGACTTTCCTGTTGATGGACACCATGATTTTTTGGGGACTAGTCTCTAAGCAGGCGGGTGCTGGGGGAACGATGCTGCTCCCAGGGGAATGGAGCAGGAGATCAGCTTTGCTACTGCCCGGTGAAAGCTGCTGCCAGGTTTTAACAAAATGAAAATACAAGTTTTTCTGCTTTCTGTTTTGACCGTCTAGTTTGTCATTTGGCTTTGACCTCGCTGGAGGATGAGGTCCCTGCTGGGGGCTCTCCAGGCCGAGCCCCCAGAGCAGAGGGGAGCCCTGCGATGCCTTCCAGGCGAGGGGCTTCGGCAGGACTGTGCCTGCTGAGCCAGCCCATGGGCCAGCAGTGGCCAACGGGGAGAATCTCTGCCTGGGTCAGACCTTGGCCTGCAGTAGCTGCTTGGGTGCTTTTCTGGGTGACCTCCCCACTGCAGCTGGACTAGGGCCACCAGCATCCCCCTGTCCTCCATGTGCCAGCTTGTGTCCCCAGCTCTCTGCTGCTGTGTGGTGTGCACCTCTACAGGGGAGGGAAGGAAAGACTGAAATTTGCACATAGAGCACTGATCAAGGCAGACTGAGAGCATTTCCAGTGCCCTCCCCAGTGAGGTGGGCTTGGGGTGCAGCAAAGGGGACCCTGCTGTCCCCAGCCCCATTCGGCCCTGGTGTGTCACCCTGAGAAGCTGCAGGGTGATGCTGGGCTCAGCTTTGGTCAGCACTTCTGCTGGCCTGGGAATGCTGCAGGCAGAGCTGCCCCAGCTCAAAAAGTGCAGGAACCTGCTCCTGGCCTTGCACTGGGTCAGGGCATGGGGACCTTGGAGTCCCCCCTGTGCCTGCCGTGGCTGCTGGGTGCATCCTGCCCCTCTCCTCCTGCCTGGGGAAGAGCAAACAGTGGGAAGCCCTGAGACATCACCAGCAGGTAGCTGGGAGCAACAGGGCTTCTGCCACAATTAGATGTTTAATAAATTTATTAAATATGTGATCTTAATGTAATATTAAAAGATATTTACTGAACAGGCAAGTGCTCCATGCAGAAGCCAGATTTCAGATGGGAGGCAGGGAGAACTGGTGTGTCGTGGAGCCGTGGCTGTGTACCACAGCCCTTGGGGCTGTCCTGGGTACCCTGTGCCAGCCTGGCCGGGGGGCACACGGATGCACGTGTGGGTCCCACGGGAGGGAAATGTCACTGTGCTCGGCACGGAGCACATGGGAGAGCCCCATGGGCCAGTTCCCATTCATTGCCCAGCGGGATGCAGCCCCTCTTCATATTATTATGCTTTAATGCTCCGGGGAAGGGGGGTGTCTGGATAATTAAGTTGGGAGTGTGCTGGAGGATAACGTTGCTACAGTCATGGTGGTGATGGGGGCTGGGAGGTGAGAGCTGCCTTAGCTGAGCTCTCGCTGCAGTCGGAGGAAACTACTGTCACGTCTCTGTGCCCATAAAACCCCCCATTCAGTGCTTCTGGAGGAAGCCAGGAACCCTCTTAGGGCACAGAGTGGGGAATCCTCCCCAGGCTCTGATTCATGCTGGTGAGAGGCTCTGTGAGCCTCAGCCAAGTCTGTTTTGAACACACTGTCCCAGTCAGGACCCAGCTTGTTTAGTTGCAGCCTCTCCCCCTGCATGGATCTGGGCACAGGGTGCGAGTGGAAGGGATGAACCATGGCAGTGGGGGCTGCCCTGCACCTCTGGGGCAACTGAAGTCACCCGGGGCTTGAGACCTGCTCGAGGGGACAGGCAGTGTCACGCTGATGCCCAGCCACACCAGGGAGGGAGAGCTGGGTGTTGCAGGGCTGCTCCATGCTCCAGTGCTCCCTCCTGCATCCAGGGCAGCAGAGATCAGGGTGAGCCCCCGAAGCCCAGGAGATCCCACCCATGGGGAGAGGCTCCTCTTGCATTTTCATTTTCTGCCCTGTGGAGCAGATGTTGTACCTCCTGAAGCACCTAAGAGAAGGCAAAAGGCACGCTGATCCCACAACAGATAAGCACAGGCATTCCTGAGCCCCAGAACTTGCACCGAGTGCCCAGGCCAGCCACCCTTCCCAGCAACGCTGAGGCTGGAGAGGCCGTTTTGTTGGCGGGGGGCTGGGGGGATCTGAGCTAGAACTGGAGCTGTTGGAGAAATGGCACAGACATGTCGTGGCTCCCTGTGCCATTCCCATCCCACGTTGCCCAGAGCAGATGAGGCTTCACCAGGGTCCAGGACCACTTGCAGGCTCTTTGTCACCTTGGTCGACAGAGCCAGGAGCTGGGGGTTTGCCCTCTAAATGCCCCCAGCAGTGTGCCAAGACAGGCAGCACACAGCTGTCCCCTCCCCCTGTGGCTAGCACTTGATGGCATTTTAATGCCCTTTAATGTCTCTGGAACAAAAAGCATTTTCTCTGCACAAATAGCACTCTGCACCTTGTGGCTGCTGTCTGTCTGTGTCTCTCTGAGAGCTTTGCAGTCATTAATAACATTAGTGAGTCCCAACCCCCCTCCCCGCGCTGGGGGGAACCTGTTTCCCCAGGGGTGAGTTTCCCCAGTGATAGTGTAGATGGGACTCTCCCGGGGCTGGGATAACCCCGTCCTCGCTGCTGCTCGCTCCTGCGACGCTGATGCCTGGGCTCCTGGGCTGAGACACAGCCCGGAGCCAAGAACTTTGTCGTGTGGGTCCTTGTAAAGGAGCAGTGATGACACATGTGACGGTGTCATCTTTTGGGGCTGGAGGGTGCCAATAAAACACAGCCGCATCAGAGGAACAGCCCTGCAGATACACACACACAGTGGTAATAACAGTAACGACTTTCAAAATTAAACCCTCCTCAAGCAGATAATGGCACAGGCAGGGCTTGAGCCAAAGAAGGAGGATCCAGGAAACTACAGGCTGGTCAGCCCCACCTCCGTCCCTGGAGAGGAGATAGAACAGCTTGTCCTGGATGTCTAAGCATGTAGAAGAAGAAAAGGTCATCAGGAGTGGTCAGCATGGATTCACCAAGGGGAAATCATGCTTGACCAGTCTGATAGCCTTCTACCATAGAAGGAGTGGCTGGGTGGATGAGGGGAGAGCAGTAGATGTTGTCTACCTTGACAGGGCTTTTGATGCTGTCTCCCAGAACTCCCTCATAGCTCAGCCTAGGCAGTGTGGGTTGGATGAGAGGACAGTGGGGTGGATTGAAAACTGGCTGAAAGACAGAGCTTAGAGGGTTGCGATTGGTGGCACAGAATCCAGTTGGAGGTCCGTAACAAGTGGGGTTCCCCAGCGGTCAGTACTGGGTCAGGTCTTGTCCAATATATTCATCAGTGACCTGGACGTAGGGACAGAGTGTACCCTCAGCTCGTTTGCTAATGACACCAAACTGGGAGGAGTGGCTGACACCTCAAAAGGCTGTGTCACCACACAGCGAGACCTGCACAGGCTGGAGAGCTGGGCAGAGAGGAACCCGATGGAATTCAACAAGGGCAAGTGTAGGGTCCTGCACCTGGGGAGAAATAACCCCCTGCACCAGGACAGGTTGGGGGTGACCTGCAGCTCTGAGGAAAAAGACCTGGGAGTCCTGGTGGACACCAGAATGCCCATGAGCCAGCAATGGGCCCTGGTGGCCAAGAAGCCAATGGCATCCTGGGAGGCATCAGGAAGAGTGTGACCAGTGGGTGGAGGGAGGTCATCCTGCCCCTCTGCTCTGCCCTGGGGAGGCCCCATCTGGAGCACTGGGTCCAGTTCTGGGCTCCCCAGTTCAAGAAGGACAGGGAACTGCTGGAGAGGGGACAGCAGAGGGCTACAGAGATGATTGGAGAATTAGAATATCTCTCTTATGAGGAAAGGCTGAGAGACCCGTGTCTTTCTAGCCTGGAGAAAAGAAGACTGAGAGGGGATCTCATCAATGCTCATAAAGATGTAAACGGTGGATGTCAAGAGGATGGGGTCAGGCTCTTCCCAGTGGTGCCCGGTGACAGGACAAGGGGCAACAGACACAAGCTGGAACACAAGAAGTTCTGTCTGAACATGCAGAAAAACTACTTTCCTGTGAGGGTGGCAGAGCCCTGGCAGAGGCTGCCCAGGGAGGTGGTGGGGTCTCCTTCTCTGGAGACATACAAAGCCGTTCCTGTGGGACCTGCTCTGGGTGGACCTGCTCTGGCAGGGGGTTGGACTAGATGATCTCCAGAGGTCCCTTCCAGCCCCTGCCAGGCTGTGATTTTGTGTGAAAAGCTAGCAAGGGCTTCTTGGGATGCAGCTCGAGGAGGGGAGGGTGGCCACACTGGCTTGGCCATCAGTGGGTTGGTGGTGTGTTTTAGGGACAGCTCATGCCAGCAGTCCTCAGACAGGACAGCAGCATTGCATCCTTTACCCTGCTCTAACAGCAAAGCTTAGTGCCACCAGCCATGCTCAGTGCCCGTTCCGTGCCAGGGAGGCAGGTCCCAGCCTGACCATGGGACGGTGTTTGGCTCTGCCCCTGCCAGCTCTGGCGTATGGGTCCCTTGGGACACACTGCCCATCAGGAAGGGGACACGATGAGGGGCTTGGTGCAGGTTGGGGGCTGGAGGGTGCAGGCACCCAGCCCTTCTCTGCTGCTGTCAGACATGGTGTGTGATGCCTTTGGAGATGCCAGCAGCTGGGACAGCTCATGGCACAGATCAGTGCCAGAGACACCTTTCCACTGTCCCCTTCAGCCCGTCTGAGCCCTCTGCTCCAGTCCAAATGCATTATTCCATCTTCCTTTCCCTTTTACAGGCCTTTGCACTGAAGCCAAGTGAAGAACCTCAGAATTGCACTACACACCATTTAACTCAGCTACGATTTCTCCAGCAGCAAAGCATCTCCGCCGCCACTGAGACCTTGACGGCTGGTTTATTCCCTCCTTGCCCATCGCTCCCATCTCTGTGCCTGGAAGACAGTGCTCAGCTGTAGCTCTAACTCTGTCCATCCCACTGGACTGCCCCCCACCATGTTTCAACGTCTCACCAGCCTCTTCTTCAGCGACAGCAACACGCCAGAATGCCTGGAAGAACCCAAACCCTTTGTTGAGGAGGAGGAGGAGGAGGATGGCTGGCTCGTAATTGATCTTGCAGGTGAGAAAAGCAGGGGGGACTCTTTTCCCACAGCCTCTGCTGCACCTTGTCTCTTTGGAGCTGGGCAAACTCCTAGAGATGACAGCAGATGAGCTTCCACCACATGTGAGCAGCTCTGCCCTTCATCCCTTCTCCCCTGGTCCTCCTGCCCTGCCCATGGTGCCCAGCGCTGTGGAGCCCTGGACCTGCTCCTGCTTTTTCCCTTCCTTTTCCTCTCCCAATGGTGGTTCCCAACTTTCCACCAGTGTGGGAGCAGCAGCAGCATCCCCAGCTGGAGCTGCTCCTGCCCAGGAGCCTCCAGGTGCCTCCGCACCAGGATGGGACCCTGGCACAGCACCAACCTGGGGAGGTCACCCAGGGGTTCGGTGCGATGCTGGCTGCGGGGGGCTCAGTGGGGTGGGGGATGCCAGCCCCCACGGGCTGTCTGGCAGTGCCCTGGCCTCGGCTGAGCTGTGCTGGGAGCAGTCCTTTGCCAGGAGGAGCTGGGCTCGGCTGCTCCCTGCAATGCCCCTGCCAAGAGCAAACTGGGACCCTGTTCCCATGGGGAGAACCCCCCTCCTGGGTGCTGGTGGGGGGCCAGGGTTTTCCCCACACCAGGCAGGCAGCTGGGAACATGCCACCAGCAATTTGGGTCAATCTCGCCACATTTGGGTCATTTGAGTCCATCAGGGGAGCAAATCTCCACTCCAATGGATTTATCTTCCCAAATCATTCCCAGTGCCCGTGCCAACAGCATTCAGCCAAGGGATGTCTGGCACAAGGTCCTCCTTCCCAGGGGTGGCGACAACCATCCAGAGCCCCGTTTGACACCAACCAGGCGGATCAAATTCCTTGTGTGCTGAGAGCTTCTCTGGCTCCATTAAGACCTTGGTGTTTGTGTTGTGGGGTCGATGACTCAACCCATTGCAATGATAATTTTATGACCTTTTCCTTGCAAGTTGAGCAGCGCACTCAGACAAACAAGCCTGCCCTGTTCAGGAGCTCCTCAATGTCCATGGTCTGCTTTTGTAGCCTCTGGTTAGTTGTGGTGGCCCAGCCCAGGGGACCACAAATGTATCCTGCAGGTTTAGGAGGAGGGTTTTGTCCTCCCTCTTGCAGACATTTGTTCTGCAAGCAGATGCTCCCCGCCTGTCCCCTGTGCACTGGGCAGAGCTCATTTTCATGATGTGAGTTGTTTGTTAGGGATTTTCCCCCTGCAGTGAGCTGGAGAGGGGACTGGAGTATGGAAAAGCCTGGGATGGGGGACAGGGACAGCCCCATGCCTGGTGGGAGCACTATGGAGAGCTGGTGGGGGTGGATGGGTGGTGTTGGCACGGGCAGCCATGGAGGGTTCTCTGTCCTCTGGGCTCTCTGGTGACTGTCCCGGGAGGGACACAGCAGTGACACAGGACGGGGCTGGCTGCAAGGAGGACCCTGGAGCCATGGGCATGCAGCTGCAGCCATGAGTCTGGGCCAGCTGGCAACAGCTGCAGCGTGCCCAACGCGCGCCAGAAGGGGCCAGGAGTTTCCCCAGAGAGAGAAACGCTGGGCTGTGCCCTGATCCTCTGGCTGTGAGACTGCAGCCGGCTCAGCGGGGACCCAGGGATGACTTTGGTACAAAAGGCTCCCATTTTTTTTCCAATCAGGCAGCCAGGCGCTCGGTGCAGGGCTGGCTCTCAGCAGTGTGCCTGCCGGGGACCTGCCACCCCTCTGCCAATTCCCACCGGCCCTGCCTCTGCCTTTTCCCGTAGCATTCCCCGGCTGGTGAGGGACTGATTTATTTCAGGCCTATTTTTGAGGCTGGAGTTATGCAAAGCACTTTAAAAACTAAACCCACTGGCTCCAGCCTCCATCCTTCCCTTTCGAGCCACGGTGGCCGGCAAGCATCTCACAGCCTGTCTCCCTCCCAGTAGTGGGGCAGCCTAATGAGCCTCCCAGTTTGTCCCCTCTCAGCCAGGTCTTTGACCCACGTGTTGCAAAATGCACCTGAATTTACCAGATGACCCCGGAGCATTTCAGATGCCCCTCTCGCCCCATCGCCCAGCCTGGCTCTGCTCAGTGCCCAGGGAGGCAGCGAAGAGCGTTTCCCGGTGTTGAGCAATACGGCTGCAAGTCACCCAGGGATTTGGGGATCCTAAAATATTCCTTGTGACATTAAACCCCCCCTTGGTGAGGGATGGGGACAGGCAGCCATGGATGGCAAGGGCTGGGTTCAGCCGCGCTGGGTCCCCTGCTCCCGGTGCCCACAGCACCCCTGTTGCGGGAGCGCTGCGGGACAGGGAATGCTCCAGCCGGGCTCCATGACGGTCTCCCGGCTGACAAATAATCTCCAGCCCGACCTGTCAACAACTATTAATAGCTTGATATCCACTGACCTGAAGAAAGACACTCTCGTGTTCACGAGGCTAATTGTGGCCTGCCCTAAGCCCCGGGCTGGGGCATCGTCCCTGGGGAGGAGCCGGGGACATGTTGGGTGGCAAACGCCAGCCCCGTGCTTCCTGCGCTACAAGAACACACCTCTGGTTTCTCCTGCACCCTCACCCAGGCTCAGGGTCACACGTGTCCATATGGATACCAGCCAATTCCCTCGCATCCCCCTGCGCGAGGCCAGGACTGGGTCTGGATATCCCCATGAGCCCCACATTAGGCGCAGGCTCCCTTCCCGTAACACAACCAGTAATTCCAAGCACAGGCAGCCCAGGAAAGTGCCAGCCCCAGTGCTTTTGCCAGGCAGAGGTGAGGAAGGGAAGGCAAGGAAGGCTGGGTGTCGGAGGGGGGTGGGAGGGCAGCTCCAGGATCAACCACCCAAAGTTTGGTCTCTAATGGACTGAAGCTGAAGGTGCAGTGAAAAGCTTTGCTGAAGAACTTAGTCCCCTGATTTCTTCCAGAAAAAAAAAAGGTGTGAATTGGTTTTTTTCCTCTGTGTGTGTGTGTGTGCGCTTGGTTTCAATGTTTGCAAAGTGCCGGGCGGTGTTTGCAGGCGCAGGTGGCTGGCGTTCCTCCGGCACGGCACAGCTCGGCTGCCGTGACTACAGCCAAAAGCAGTTATTGCTTTGTGGGCTGAATTTCTTCCTTCATTTGGAGAAGGAAAAAAACCCAACCCCTGCTGATTTCCCTCACTTTTTGGTTAAACTGCCTACCCAGAACCGTCTCCATTGCTTGGTGGCTTAGTGCAGCCGCCCCGGTGTGGGGGTGCCAGCTGGGACGCGGGGCGGTGCGGGCATCCCCCTCCCCACGGGGTCCCGGTGACACCGTGCTCGTCTCTAGCGGCGGTGATGGCGGTGGGGTGTCTCTTGCACTAACGATACCCCTTTCTCTCCCCCCTCCCCTCCCCACTGTACATGGTATGTGTGTGTGTCCCCCCGCTGCGCCCCGCATGGCTCTTGCACCCCCCCGCCATCCCCAGGCAGCCGTGCCCGCCCTGGCGCAGCCCGGCGAGTGGGTGCTGGCGGTACCGGGCGCTCGGTGCGATCCCGCCCGGCGCCCCCCGGTCCGCCACCCCCGCCGGCCGCTTCCCCGGCTCCGGCCGGTCCCTGCTTGATGGACGAGAGTTGGTTTGTCACCCCTCCCCCCTGTTTTACTGCAGAGGAGCCCGGCCCCGATGGCGTGGGGAGCAGCCCCATGGAGGACCTGCTCATCGAGCACCCCAGCATGTCCGTCTACGTCACCAGCACCCTCGAGGTGGACGGGGAGGTACCCGAGGACGATGCTGCCGGGTGAGTGTGACTTGGGGGTGCTCGCCGGGGGCTGCCAGCCCCAGCACCCACTGGAGAAACAGGGTGGACGGTCAGTCCCGGCATCCCAAATCACCACATAGGCCTGGGAGCGTTTTGCCAACACTACCTGGAGATGGAGCGGGCCTGTGGGAGACCTCAGTGTCCCCACGTCCCACCTCAGGGAGCACCCTGCTCGCCTGGCCATTTGCCCCGGCTGGTGCTGTGCAGGGATGGCAGCCTCTGTGTCCTGAAATACTCTGCTAAGGGCATCTCAATGTCATGTTGGGATTGCTGCGGGGGCATCATCATGAGTTTGCCGCTGGGCTGCAGCAGGAGATGGCTGTGTCCGTCTCCCCTGTCCCGAGCAGAGTCTCCTGGTGATGCTGCCTGTCACCCCACTGCCCGTCCCAGGGGAGTTTCCAGGCTGGGCTTAAACATAGGGTTTTGCACATGTATGGCATAACCAGCGCAAACCCAACAGGACAAGGTGGCCTTTGGGCACAGTGGTCCCATGGCTCCCTGAGGCAGGAAGGTGCTGCAGCCCCCTGATCGCCCTCCTGGCCCACAGCTGTGGGTGAGCGGGACACCACTGGCCACGGGTGCAGAGACATTTCTCCCTGCCCCAACATCCAGTTTAGCAGGGGGACTAAAGTTAAACAGAAATACCCCAGATCTCACCACTGCCCTCTCCTACCCCAGGAGCTGTGGGCTGGAGCCCCCCAACATGCTTCCTGGGGCCACAGCCTTGCTGCAGCCCCTGGGGAGCTCTGCCCTTTCCCCATGGCTGCCCTTGCTGCCCTGCAGCACTGGGAAAGCCCTCATCATGCCCATGCTCAGCCCTGAGTGAGCCCCAGGTCCCACTCACTGCCCCCCAGTCCCAGCCCTCCAGCATCTCCCCCAAGAGCCCCTCACCAGGCAGGGGAGGTGGAAGAATTTGGGGTGAACTTCCACCTGGGCTAGGGGACACCATTCCTCCAGGACTTCTCTCTTTCCAAACTCTCCCTGAGGGCCACAGCTTGATCTCAAGAACTTCAGCGGAACCTCAGCGCTGGAGGGTGCAGAGAGGGGGCCAAAGGGAGCTAGAAATGGGCCAGGAGACCAAATGGGTCACAAGTGGGATGGAAATGGGACTGGCCTTGGCTTCCCTCTGCTGGGGTCAAGGGAAGTAGCCATGGTGGGGGACTGTGGGGCTGCCCCGTTCCTGGTGGTGCCTGGATTTATCCTGGGTGTCCTAGAGCCCACCTGTGCTGGAGCCTCTCCCTCTCGGCTGTGGAGCGGGAGGGGACTGGGTCCATCCTGGGGGCACAGTGTGGTGGGGAGGGAGACTGGGCTGGAGACCCCAGCCGCCTTCTTGCTGGGGTGGGCGAGGGCCAGGCACGGGTGGCCACTGACAGCCCCTTTCTCCACAGGGAGGTGCCGGAGCCCCGGCTGGAGCGGCACATGCCGCACCACAGCAGGTCCCTCTCGGTGAAGGCCGCCATTCTGGAGAAGGTGGGGCAGGCGCGGCGGGTGCAGCGGGCCAAGCAGATGGTGGAGAAGCACCAGCTCAGCCAGAAGGCCCTGCAGCGGCAGAACCGGGCCCGCCAGCGCCCGCTGCGCCGGGCCAAGCAGTGTGCCGGGACCTTCGTCCACCAGCCCTGCCAGCGCCACTGCAACTACTGACCTCGCCGGGCCCACCCCCTCGCCGCCTCCCCCGGCGGAGAGAGGGAGACCTCACCCCCCGCCCCGACACCGGCCGCCCCGGGGAGCCACTGCCGGTGCCGCTGGGAGGCTGTTTCACTCCACGCACCCCCTCCACAGGGAGGTGCCGGAGCCCCGGCTGGAGCGGCACATGCCGCACCACAGCAGGTCCCTCTCGGTGAAGGCCGCCATTCTGGAGAAGGTGGGGCAGGCGCGGCGGGTGCAGCGGGCCAAGCAGATGGTGGAGAAGCACCAGCTCAGCCAGAAGGCCCTGCAGCGGCAGAACCGGGCCCGCCAGCGCCCGCTGCGCCGGGCCAAGCAGTGTGCCGGGACCTTCGTCCACCAGCCCTGCCAGCGCCACTGCAACTACTGACCTCGCCGGGCCCCCCCCCTCGCCGCCTCCCCCGGCGGAGAGAGGGAGACCTCACCCCCCGCCCCGACACCGGCCGCCCCGGGGAGCCACTGCCGGTGCCGCTGGGAGGCTGTTTCACTCCACGCACCCCCACACACCTGCACCCCTAACCCCCCCACTCCTCGTCTTCCTGCCCCCGCTCTCCATGGCTCCCCTCACCCTTCTCCCCCGATGCCGGCCGGGCCAGCACCCCCCGGCACTGCCGGCATGGAGGGCCCTGCCGCCCCCTCCACCCTGGCGGCCACACTGGCCCTCACGCAGGAAATCGGTATTCCCGGAAATCACCCCTTTCCCAAATCTGCGGCGCAGCCTGTTTGTCCCGAGGAGCCTATGGCATCAGTGCCTTTCTTCATGATGTCATGGTTCTGCGCACAGCCGGGCTGGGATGTCACAAGCAGAGACACCGAGCGGCAGCGAAAAGAGCAACAACGCAACAAGATTTGGGATTTTTAGGAAAAAATCTCATCAATAACACTAAGTAATGCTTCCTCCCCCCAAAACCAGCAAATAACCCCCTCTCTCCCTGATTTTCCAATTACATTTTTACCGTGATAAGACAAAATGCCGGCTGCCAGTCCCGAGGGGGCTTGTTGTGGGGAAGAGCTGGTGGACACCTTGGTGGCAGGGTCAGCCGGGCGGCTCACGGTGCCTCGTGGTGTTTTTTTTTAAAGACAACCTTAAAAGCAATCTCAGGAAACAAAGCACCATCCCAGCGCCTCGCCAGAGCCCTCCATGGCCTCGCCGGGAGGGGGTGGCCCCGTGGCCGGTGGTCCCTCCAAGCTGGCTGGCTGCTTCATCCAAGCAAGCCCCCTCCTCCTGGAGCCACTTGTCTGCCCGAGCCGCACCGACACACGTACATATGTACATTTGTGGGTGGACATTTCTCTGTGTACTTGGACGAGGCACCGCTGAAGCCAAGGAGCACGGTCGGCCCCATGTTAATCCCTGGGAGGGGAGCGGAGACAGAGACCTGTGCAGCTTCCCTGAGGTGGCAAAAGCACGTGGAAGGTGGTGGTGAAGGGATGCCGAAGAGGAGGCCAGAGGGAAGAGGCTGAAGTAAGGGCAGAGATGGACCTGGGAGCGGTTGCAAAGGGACACGATGGGGCAGGCCCGGTCAGTGGGGCCGGGCGAGGGGATCGCTGCAGTGAAGCCATAACGGGAATACCTTCTCCCCCCACTAAAAATTGCATCCTTTCCACTGAAGGGCCAAATTCCGGCATGGGCAATGCTGATTTTTTAATGCAAATCCCTCCCCTCCCCGTGACTGACTCATTCTGCCTTGCAAAGGACACGTCCAGACTTTACACCAGCTCCGGCACCAGCTGAGATGACTCCAAACCCAGCAGAAATTTACTGATTCCCCCCCAGCTCCCTCCCTTTAGAGACTGGTTTTGCACTCCGCGCCCCGAGGAAGGTCTGGCCATCGTGTCCTGCTCGTGGCAAGCTCCCTGGATCCTCACCCTCTTAGACAAAAAATATCCCCACTTCACCCCCCGCAAAAAATGCTGATTTCACAGGAGTTTCTTCCATTCACCATGTTATATCCCTTAATATCAGTTTGGGACCTAGGTTGAAGGAATCGTGGTGAGCCCGACCTCAGACAGCTGATATTTATTAATTTTTTTTTAATGAGATTAAAACCAAACCAAACCCTCTTACAAGCACCAGCCCCTGGCTCTGTGCCTGGGAGCCTGGACCACGGGGGAGCTGGCTAATGATGCTCACCTGCAGCATTTATCTTTCACTCTGATGACATGATGTTCCCAAAAACACAGAAAGAATGAAAAAAAAAAAAAAAAGCTCTCAAGTAGCTCTTTTCAGCCTTTCCCTCTCAATTCTTCCAGGCCAGTTTCTCAATTCAAGTCCTCCTGAGACCTGGCACCCTCATCACAGGAGTGATGTGATGCCTCCTGCCCCTCTGGCTGTGGCAGCCACGCTGTGCTGGCAGAGATGCTGGGCTGTGTCCTGGCACCCGCCACACCGGCGTGTCTGCTGCTGCTTCAGCCTTTCTGGTGAGCGCGGTGGCACCGGAGCTGGTGTTTCACGGCCGGTGGTTTATCAGCAAGGAGCGGGCAAGGATTGGGGAACCCGCTGTTGGCCCCCCCCGGCCCTCGGCATTGCCCACCGCTCCTGGGGCCTCACCGCAGCCACCGTCCCTCACCGCCAAACCTGAGACCATGCTGGAGATCACCATGCTTCATCTCTGTGTCTTCTCAGCGAAGAGACCGGCAACTCCTTGACTTGAGGGGAACGTTTACATCCTTTGGCTTCACATTAAATGCCTTTTTTCCCCCCAAAGCGATGCCTGGCATGAACCGGGAGCACAGCAGGGGCGCTGGCACCGGTGTCTGTGAAGACAAGTGGGCACTGAGCCCCAGCTCTCGGGTGCCCGATGAGGTGCTGCCTTCCCTGCGCCGCTCTCCCCTGTCACCAGGTGCCGTGCGTCAGAGGAAGCATTGTCTCTCTGGCCCGAGTACAAATCAAGAAGTGGACAAGCCAAGAATCGTCCTGCCTCCCTGCCCCTTCTCCATTGCAAATTCTCCTCCTGCTCATCCGAGATGCCGACAGTCCTTCCGGAGCGTTCCCGAAATGGGAGGCTGGCCGCGACCCTGTCACCCCCGCAGCTCCCCGGGGAGGATGTGCTGGGGACAGCAAGGCTGGCTGGGAGCGTGTCCCCGAGAGATCCTGCCGTGTCTCCTACCAGCCCTTCCCGTGCCCACCCGTCTGCTTCCAAACAGTACCCCAGTAGTGGAAACCCCTCATCAAAATCCTCCTCATCCATCACCACCCAGAAAGCCGTGGCTGTGCTCCCGGGGCTCAGCGCACCCGGCTCCGGTGGCCGGCACCCAGCACCCAGCCCCGGCTCTGCGGCCACTGGAGATACTCCGTCCTGGTTTTCGGAAGCGAATGCAAACTGTTTTCTTTTCCTTTCTTCTTTCTGTGCCAGTCTGAGACATCTTTCATCACGCTGTGCCCAGCCAGCACAGGACATGAAGCAGAACTATTATCACACTTTATATCAAGAGTATGTTTATAAAGGATTAATAAATTATTAATAATGTTTTCATGAAGAGGTTAATCCAGAGTCCTAGCATCCCGCAGGTCAACGGAGCGCACTTACCACAGCATATATGGGCTCCTGCGACCCCTCCCTGTTGTTTGCACACTTGCTTGTGTATTAACATCTAATAATCACCTATTAATCCCTGCAAAGCGACTGTCGATCCACCGGTGTGACCAACTCTTCTTATGCTGCGGCGAAGGTGTGTTCAGACTGCGCTTTGCAGAAGCCCTGCCACGCTCCTCTCCAGCCCGATGGTGAGCACAAGACCTGGCCTGATACCAAGTCTCCTGCCCAGTGTCGCCAGAGCAAGAAAACCCCTTTACACTGAGCTCATGAGTCTCCTCGAATCTTAAACAAATGAAAGGTGCTTAAAAACTGAGAACTTTTCCTGTCTGTGCACATGTGTAGATATCTCACCACGGCATGGGTGTTCGGTAGGTTGTTTCGGGGTGCGGGTTTTAGTTTTTTTAGGGGTTTGTTGATATTCTTTTCCGCCCAGTATTTTCAATTTGTGACTAGCTGTGCGGTGCTCCCGCCGGGAGGGTGAAGCAGCCACGGCGTGGGCTGGCAGGGAGGCCCGTGGGCCGGTGTCCTGCTGGAAAGGCTGGGACGAGTCTTGCTTTCTTTTCTTTACTTGTGTAGGGGGAAACTACAGCATGGACTCAGGGACAAATAGATATGCTGGGGTCTTTTAAAAAAGAGGTTTGTTTTTTTCCGGGCTTCTCTGTTTGGCTGTGGGGTTTGTTTCTGGCTGTGAGTCCTCTGGTTGGCACGGTCCTGACGGATGCTGCGGGGATGTGACTGAAGCCTTTGGCAGCGTGTGTCGGTGTGAGGCTGCCGTGCGTTGGGAGAGCAGCAGGGTTTGGTGCTTGGACATAGCACTGTCCCTGAGCAGCAGCCCCTCTACCTTTGCCCATGTCCCGAAAATTCACCTTATAGCTGCTAGAGCGCGGCCGGTCCTGCTGTTGGAGCAGTCGCGTGGAGGAATGCTGGTGCAGGGCACAGGCAGGTTTCTGGGCAGTGTGTTTTGTGTTTCTTGCAATGAAAGCATAAAACAAAACAAACAAACAAACAAACAAACAAAAAAAAGGAAAACTTCCCCAATGAAAAAATCTGGGCAAATCTCTGTTGCCCAGATCTCTGCCCAGTCAAGTCAGTCACAGTCACTCTCGGGTGGGCGAGCTGGCTCCAGCGCCGCGCCGGGGGGCACGGACGGGCAGGTGTTTGGGGCATCGGGCCTCTGCGGGCAGGCTGGGGCTGGCGGAGGCAGCAGACCCCCGTGGTGGCAAGATCCCCGTGGTGCAGGGGGTCTTCTCTGAGCAAGGCGTGAGAGATTTGCATCTCGGTTGGCTTCTGTGGGTACGGGGCAGGGCAGCCCGGCTCCGCAGCAGAGCGATGGGTGAACGCCCCAGAGTGAATGAGGAGGCTGCCCCGGGCATGGGACCCAGGGCAGGAGAGGCACCCCCTGGAGAACAGCACCTCTCAAGATGAAACCAGCTCAAGCCAGGACACGTCTAAACCCGTGTACCCCCATGCGACCCACCTCCGGGGCAGCTCCCCGCCTGGCGCTGCTTGCCACAAAGGCAGGCTGGCAGCCACAGCAGGGGCAGGACACCTCGCTGGCAGCCAAA